GGCGGGGGCCCAAGGGGCCCGAGAGGACGGGGGTTAGGATCGCAAAAAATTTTTCAGCTATTACGGGCGGAAAAGTAAAAAGTTCCCAAACTTTGGGGGTGTTTTTAGTAGGGGTAGGGGGGGTGCTCCGGGTAAAAAGGGAGGGGGGGCCAAAGGGCAAAAGAATTTGGGCAAACAAAAAAGGGGTCCCCCCCCCCCCCCCCCCCCCTGCGGTTTCGTCCTTCCTCCTTGACAGCCCTTGGAAATGATTTTTTTGCACCTCAAACCCCCTCCACGTTCCAAAACAAAAAAAGGGCGGAGGGGTGGAGGGGAGGGAGGACTCCTCGAAACCAAGGCTTTGCCAGTTGCCATGGAAACCCCTCAAGGGGATAAGGTTTGATCCATGATCTCATTCATCACCACCGGCCAACTCAGCCCCTCTCTCACCGTGAAGTCGTTGCGCAAGGTTCTGCAAGGCAGCAAGCCAGGAATGCCCACCGAAGATAGGTCTTCTCCACCCAGGTCCCACCAGATCTGCGACGACCGATTTTGATAGGCACAGCAAACAGAAGACCTCGCGCGGTTCGGTCAAGGTGCTCACAATAACTTCAGCTTAAAGGCTTCACTACAACAGACTCATAAGTGAGCCCAGTATCCACCAGCCGGTTTTCTCCCGCGTGCTCTAAAGACTTCATCCCACCCCCATTCGACTGTTGTTGTTGTTGTTTGTTGTTGTTGTCTTCACATTAAAACCCGTTCCAATCGCTCCACCCAGTACCTTCATCTGTCCCTGTCCGTACTGCTGTAGTCTAACACTTGACGCGGCAGCTTTCCGTGGTCACAGGCTTACTTACCCGAAAAAGGTACACTAAAGTAAAAAATGGGCCCGAGAAAGGGTCCGCAAGTCACTAGAAATAAACGGCGCGGTCGATTCTGGTGGTCACGGACTAACTACTGTTTACAATAAAAATGGACCCGAAGGGGTCCGCAAGTCACTAATAGAACCCCCCCCCCCGACAGATAGCCTAGAATCCGACGGCTGTGGTTATACCTCGAACGGGTAGTCTTATTCTCTCTCTTATTTGTATGTATAATTTAATTCTCCAAGAGTAACGATGGCACAAGATGCAACTTACATGCCCACTCAACAATCAGAACACAGCACGAGAACACAAACACGTAATTACCGCCGTTGCAACGGTTTACAAACGGTCTACTGTAGACAAGGGGTCGCTTCTACATCTGACACATATTGACGCCGCTAGAGCTCGTTTGGGGGGGGGACGCTCCTATTAATAGTTGGTGATCGGAACTCCCCCCAACAGCAGTCTTTCTACCAAGCCACTTTTTTTTTTGCACCGGGCGAGAGCTGCGAGTGCGGGTGGGAAGGAACGTCGCCAGGCGTCACTGTAACAAAACCAAACGACTTGAAAAGTTCGCATGCTGGGCAGAGAGAACGGAACGGTTTTTAATGTGAAGGCAACAACAGCAACAACAACAACGACAACAACATCCAAGGTCTTACTTGTCAAGCTACTAGGCGCGGGCGCTATCGCTAGCCAACTGCTGTATTTGTTCCAGTGTTTGAGTGTGAATGCTCATCGAGTAGGTAGCCTTGACCGACATCAAATGCCGGTGAAGTCGCGTAACACGGATGGAAGACTCAAGTCGTCTCGTTCTGTGAATAGTGCCGGCTGCCTGGTGATAGTGCCGGAGAAATATGGGGCGCATGGAGCCAACTGCTGCATTTATTGTTGGTATGTTACATAGCCAACTGCTAAGTATACATTTTTGCTGGTATGTCATGCTGGTATGCTCAATAGCCGACTGCTGTATTTGGTTGCTCGTATGTCATGCTGGTAAGTTAAAAAATAGCGAACTGCTGTCTAGCTTCCAGTGTAGCTGGACCACGGGTTGGAGCTGCTACAAGTTGTCGTTGTCTTCACATTAAAAACCGTTCCGGTCTCTGCTCAGTACCTTCTAATGTCCGTACTATACTATAACAGTCCAAATGACGCAGAAGCCTTGCGTGGTCACAAGCTACACCTTTCTAAAAAAAAAAAAAAAACGTACCCGGCAGAAAAGCTATGAGCGCTGATTATCGAAGTGATGGAACGAGATTAAAAAAAATATATAAAAAAATGGTGTTCTCTCTCACCGAGGTTGCCTTGCCCCTCGCTCGTGTCCTCCGCGCGTGCTTGCCCGACCCGCACGCCAGGTGCTCGAGCATGCCAACGCAGGCCGTCTCTTGGTCACGGTACGTCGAAGGTGCCTGATGGATGCAATCAGCAGCAGGGCAGTTAGCGCCCGCACTTTCCCGAACTTGGGGCAGTTGCTTGGCACCTAAATGAAGGAAGGAATCGATATGGCCTCGAAAAACTCAGAGTCCACGAGTTGTGAGCTAGGATAAGAGCCCTAGAACAAAACCTATGTACCGGCCATTCGTAGCTAGGGCCGTTTTATACAGCAGCTATTTCGCTTCCAAATTTGCGAATCTCCAAATCCGTAGGCCGTTGAACCTGGATTGTGGCCGAGGGAAACATTTGGAAACTACTGGCAACAACAAAAATTGGAAATCTGGAGAGTCGGAATTTGGAAATTTGGAAAAAAGGAAGCAAAATCCCAGGGGATAAAACGGCCCTTACCTTTTAGAAACACCCCAGCCGAAGTCAGAAGTAGAGGTACTTATGTAGGGTAAATAGTTGAATTATCGTCAAATCTTGAACGTGAGTACGCGATCGCTCAAAACCACCATGGCCCCGCGAACCGCCAACAAAAATGTTCGACTGATGGCTTGCGTTTCATCAGTCATCAGCGCGAAAAAACACAAGAATGTCTATCCAAGGCTTAGCCATACATCTCGCATCGAAGAATTTGACTTGTCTCCCCCCCCAAAAAAATATTAATAAAACAATTTTTTATACAAATGTTTGCTTATTTGTTTATTTCATGCCTGAATCAGCAGAATTTTTTATTCCACCCGCTTTTCATCAAAAGTGTCTCGAAACAAATAAGATCGCGACTTTGTGAACCCGTCGCTTTTATTTTCTGAACACTCACCTTGGATGCGAGGACCCCTGTCTGAACCAGAAGCTGGAAATGCATCGAGAGTTGGTCAAGAACCCTCTCCCGCAGGCCAGGAGAAACAGCCGAGGTTCCGAGCTGGAGTCGGAAAAGAAGGGAGGGCGAGGATAAGGGTTATGTGTCTGGGATCTTTGTTGTTTTTGGGATGGTTAAATGTTTGTACACTTATTTTCTTTTGGTGCTCACAGCGTTTTTTTTTTAAGGGTAAAGGGTGGGGGGCCCAGAAAGGGACAGAGCTAGCTCTGTAGCAAGTCGGCGTCTTTAGAAATCGGTAAACAAAACTTCCAATCAGTCTCTTCACACGCAACTTCTTGCTTTGTTTTGTGTGAGCTTTAGCCGAAAGTGTAGCGCCCGCCAGCCAAAGGCGTAGCTCCCGCCGGCTGCCCAACGGATGAGAGCGCAGACGAATGGTATGCCGTTCTTGCCTTCGCTTTCATCGCGAGAGCAATTGCTTCAGTCGTTGCCATTCCGTCGTCAACTGCTCTGGACGGAGCCAAAGAAGACTACACGAAAGTATTTGTCTCGGGTGCAGCTGCGTGGCCTGGTGCGAAGTCGTGTCCTTTATGAAGCTCGGCAGACAGAGGGAAGGGGGACAGACACTACATTTGCTTACATTCAGTATCAGAATATCCATGCAAGAAGCACCGTAAGAGACGGAGAGATGGCACCCCCCCCGGACCGATTGTCAAAGCTCGATTTGCTCCACAATCATGCGATCTGCCAACACCAAAATTGATGTTTCTGGAAATACCTCCTCGAGAGCTTTCCGTAGACGTAACGGGCTCTTTCCGCAGCCACTTGATTGTGGAGCAATCGACGTTGGAGAGTCGGTCTAAGGGGGGGCGTGCCATCTCTCCGCCTCTTAGGGCATGCGACCGCGAGCACAGGGGCCATAGCGTTTCGTTCTGTTGCCGAGCTTGTCATCATCAGCTTGTTGTGCGTGGAGAGCTATTTAGTGGCCCGCGCCCATCAATTAGCTTAGAGGTACACACCTCTTAGACCCTACAGTACGCAATCTCGCCTCAAACCGGTATCTACACGTCCCGGCTTCACCCCCCCTGACCTCATCGGGCTTTTCAGAGCAGGATATCGGACCGACACACATACAGGACCTTTTTGAGAAAAATTATGCCCTTTCGCGGTAGCAGAGAGATTGAGAGCCGCATCCGAAATTGTGGACATTTTTCTCACGGTGAGAGGGAATAACCCTGCTGGCAAATCTTGTCATGTACAGTCAGGGGCCCTCTATCGTGCGGGTACAGTATACGCCAAGCGTGTTCACCCGCATCATAGCGGGCAACCGCAGCATTCAAAGTACTAACCACCTTGAGCATCCCATTTGTGCCAGCCAATTTCCCCCGCACTACACGGAGCGCCCGCACTGTTGAGGGCCCCCGACGGAACAACGGTCTTCCCGCTGGCGACAAAAACAAACATTCCCGGACAATCTTGGCCCGAGCATTACCTCTATTCTGCATCGAATGTAACTGGTCGCTATGTACCTCTGCCATCGTGTCGAGAAAGGGCGCACACGCAGGCGTGCTTGATGGCCGCGCTCCAATAGCATGGGACGACGTGTACGACGGTGCCCCTACAACCCAATTCTTGGTCAACGCCGCTTGCTCTTAACGGTACCGCTATTATTCTACCCGCGGCGGAAACCCGCGGAAGTCACCTGCTTGTACGCGTCTTGCACCAGGTCGTTGAGCTCCCGAGCCTGGATGTTGCGCCGGCGCACCCCTGCCTCCTCGCCCTCCTCGTCTTCGTCCACCACGGGTGGCTCGAAATCCTCGTCGCCGTCGTCCTCCTGTTTTTCATAGAGACAAACAAGCGTGTTGGGACGTTATAACCCTCCTATCTAGTACCCAGCCCCGCCGCAAAAAGAAAAATGCCGCAAAAATGGTTGTCAGCCATTGGTCGAGGGGCTACAGTCCTTCCAAAGATTCTCGAAATCCTCGTCGCCGTCGTCCTCCTATTTTTATAAAGACAAACAAAACGTGTTGGGACTTTTTTTTTTTTTTTTAGCCCTCCTAGCCTAGTTGTCTTGTGACCACGGAAGGCATCGGCGTCAGTTGGACCAGTACAACACGGATGATAGGAAGTACTGAGGGGGACCGGAACGATTTCAATGTGAAGACAACAACAACAACAAGGTAACCCGCGTGTGTGCCGCTCTATGCACAACTAATGTTGGGTGTACAATGCAAGGTGCAATGTACGCACACACCTCGTGGTCTCTTCACTATTCAAATACCGCCTTAGACTACCGTATATGACACAAGATAACACACCTACATAAGAAAGCACACCCCCCACAGAACAGGACACCCCGGTGATAGTTTTGGGCGCTTCTGACAAACCATCGATTTATCACCGGGGGTACATAAGATAACACACCCCGGTGATATATTTAGTTACGCCGCATATGAGTCACGGGCCCCCTCCTTCTTTATCACCGGGGTGACAGCCTCTGCCCTGGGCAATCACACACACTACCACGTCAGCTGTGTGCGGGGAAACACCCCACATGGAGACCCCCAACAACATGAACGTGCAGGCAGAGCACAATGCAACCGCAAGTACCAAGTAAACGTTTTTGTGAGGGGGGCAGGAAGGATGGCGCACGCAGTCTGTGGCCACCGCCAATCATCGTATCGGTCGATGTACCTTCGATTTTTAATTTTTTCTTGCTCGATTCAGGCCCGTATTTTGTTTCAAACTTTTTTTGGCGATGAGAGGGTTGAGTTATCGCCGAGGTCATGTGCTAAGGAGTTTCGTCACCTCGGTTGAGCCCCTTTGTTTTCCACGCCCCTTAAGGTAGGTCCCCACACTGCACGTGCACGTGCAGGCATGGCTATCACACCCCCTTTTTTCGCACCCCCTCATTTATCACACCCCAAAGCACACGCTGTGGCTGTTCGGACGTGCTATCACCCCCCCTTTTATCACACACCCTCATTTATCACACACCCCAACACACGCTGTGGGTGTTCGGACGCGCTACCACACCCCCTGGTTTATCACACCCCCTTAGGGGCCCCTGCGAGCTGCACTTTATCACCCGGGGTACACAAGATAACACAGCCCCCACGGATACCACACCGGGTAATAATATTTTCAAACTCCAAAATGTTATCACCGGGGTGTGTTTTCTTGTGTCATACACGGTAGTCTGCCCTCCCTCTCTTTCTCGCGGTTAGAGGGACAAAGAGAGAAAAGGGGACGGGATTTTGGACAAGGCCGACGACTCTGCTCCCGGTCTATTTTTTCGGTCCACTACAGGCACTATCATCGGACTACTGCTGTGTTGTACGCGTAGTGTACTGCAGAGGGTAGCACACAGCAGCGGCGGCTGCTGCTTTGAGGCCGGGTGGTGCTCTGTTGAGCATGTTTTCAAACTTCTCTGTTGCACGCTGTCTCCAGAGCGTCTGTGTGGCGTTGAATTGCGCCCTCGCTCACGGTAGCGGAGACCACAAACCACTAGCACCAGCCCTCTATACAGCCTCTGCTGTGCCACAGCCATCCCAATCCCGACGTCAAGAGATTTTTTCGAAAAGCCCGCCGCCTAATGCAATACAATACCTCGGGCATATCGTCGAGCAGGAAGTGTCGATAGAGGTCTTCCATCTCCTCATCGTCCAACACGGGCAGCGACTGGTCGAGGAAATCCACCTCCTCCCGCCCGTCAGCAGAATTAGAAGCGCGCGGTTGGTGAGGTGTTCCCATGGCGCTCGTGGCCTACTCTCCTCACTCGCTCTGCTGCTGTGGCGGAGCGGCCTCCCCCTGCGGTGTGCTGCGTGCTGCAGTCAGCTGGAGAAGTACGGTTCTCCGTGATCTCCGTGATCTCCGCGATCTCCGTTTTTCGGGGATCGAAGTACGTATGTCCCCCCCCCCAAACCCGGCTGTGGCCGCTGCCAGCGCATCACAACAGGGACATCGAATGCCAGAAGGGAGACATATATAGAGAGGAAGAAATAGACAAGCAGGGGGGGGCAAGGTGAGGTTGATAGATAGGTAGGGAGAGAGCCAGCAAAGAAAGGGAGGCCCCATGGCGCCCCTTGTGCGAAGCGTGGCCGCTCTAGCTATCACCGCCGCCCTGGAAACGACAGCCTTCGTGTCCACGCCCAACCCCTACCGCACAGCGCGAACAACAACCGCCGGCGCGCGACAAGCTGCCAGACCAGGGCTCCTGAGGCCATCACCCCAGCACCGGTACGAGCGAGTGGAGAGGTGCTACGGCTTGCAGATACGAAGCAACCCGCGGAGTGGTTGGTGTTTTTGCGATTGGTGTTCAATGATGTACAGACAGACGCATGATTTGTCATGCTGACGGATGCATCCAATATGACTCTGTGTAGTTTGTACATATGTGACAACCGTTGTCGTTGCTGTGTGTCGGCAGGTGCCGCGTCCCCACGATCGCCGCCGCCTCCGCGCCCGTCAAGGCTGTGGCCGACGAGGATGTCGCGACGTTGCCCCTGGAACAGACCAAGCGCGACGACCTGCGGAACCTCGCGATCGTTGCGCACGTAGGTGAGCGAGCCGCGTGTAAACATGAATCGGACCACCACAACGAAGGTCGGAGTTGTTGTTGCTGTTCCTGTGGTTCGTCAGTTGACGTACTTGTCGACGATCGCTCGTCTAGCCCCCACAGCTTGGCAGGGGCCGACCACCGCTGCTGCCCACACCATTTCTCGACAGCAGCGGTCTTTGCGTGTTCCTTGCCTGCCTATCACCGCGGCGCATAGGTATGTATTTTGCGGCGGTGGTCCTGCCTGCAGCACAGCAGCTACAACAACCATCCGTGGAAAACAGAAAGGCGTTTTCGTTTGGTTGCACTTACTTGTATTACGACAGTTTGTTTGTTTTGCCTTGGTTTTGCGGCCTTTCGTGCTGTCGTCGATGTGCCGGACACTCTGTACGTTGTTGGATGGCACAACACTGCATGGCGTTTACATGGAAGTGTCGCGTGGAGAGCGTTTAGCCCCGCCCTCCCTGAAAATAGGCACCGAATGCGCATGATCGCTCTAGTTGGGTGAGTGGCGAGAGGATGACACGTGGACGTGGACGTCCTGCTCATGGCATCCATTAAGAAGCACACCACTGGCTGGGCTGTTGGCGCAGTGGAGAAACTCCTCCAGCAACAAAACGGAGAAAGACAATGCAGCCACATGTTGTAACACAGTTGCAGAGTTGACGCTGTTTACCGATCGAAAGCACAAAACAAAACAATCTAAATATTCGCAGTACAAGAGGTACAACGCTGCTGCGCTTGGTTCCATCACGGTAGCAGCAGTGTAGCGGCGTAGGTGAGTGTACCGAAGGTGACACAAGATACCATACACCTCAGACCTTTTCTTCAAAGCTCGATTACTCCGAAGCAAGAACAGCAGCGGAGGTGCCGAAAATGGCGACGTTGGATCCGTCTTCGTCGAGAGCTTTCCGAAAACGCACCCATCTGGTTCCGGCAATCTTGTCGTGGTGGAGCAATCGGGTTTCGAACATCGTTCCAGGGGGTGTGGTATCTTGTGACCACCTACTGCTGTGTTTGTCGGGCACATACATAACGATCGCGACGACGATGCAACGTATAGAACTGAAGACCAGGCCTTCGCACACTGCCTATTTACAAATTACGTAAAGAAAGTAAGACTAAAACGAAGAGGAGATCCGGGACGGGACGCGCAGATCCTAGAAAACCGTAACCCCTGCATTTAGCGGATGCTATACTTTGTCCAGTGTGTTTGCTTGCTAAGAAAAACCTGCGTATATAGACGACTGGCCTTAGCCCGCGACTCTCTACGACATACATACGACTGTAGCCGACAGTTGGGCGTCATCGTCACGCCTTGGCGAGAAATAGAACTCGCATCCACTCGTGACGTCGTCGGAAGTGAAGACAACAACGATAATTGTTATTCATCCGCTCGTGACGTGATGAGCAAGGAACAACAACCCTCTTGTAGCCATGCGGCAAAGTCTCAGATGGGTACAATCAAGGGACAAAGCCTTATCAGCAGCAAGGATAAAACCGCGTATTTTTTGGTTTGTGTACCGAGTCTGCGTCCAACACCCTAAGCCCGACGTGAGAACTGGATCCTGTTTTTGACGCACACCCAGGTTCCTACTGCTGTAGGCGACATGACGCAAGATACAACACCCCCCCCCGGACCGATTTGCTCCCCTCCCGGTGTTTGCCATCGGGGTTGGGGTTTCGTCGCTTGGCAGCGATGTTGTATAACAAACCGATCACTTCGTGAGCTCAGCCACCAGGTTGCCGCTTTTCTTTTGCCTTTTTTTTTTTTTTTGCGGTTACCATGAATGGTGGTCGAGTAAATTATGTTGTGCGGGGTCGAGAACCCTCACTCCGCGCAAAGGGCATAATCGCACGTTGTGTTAAATTGGTCAAGCACCCGCGAAGGAGTTACACAGCGCTTACAACTGTCTCTGGAAGTGAACGCACCAGAAAATAAATTAAGTCATACGCAGCTTGTCATCCGTACGCAAGGAAGTAAGCACAAGATGCCGAACACCCTTAGCAGGATGCAGCGCACCTTTCATGCGACTCGCGGAATACCTCACGGTGCTTCGCGCTTGGTGATGTGAGAGCCTGGTCCGGTGAGAACCCGGCGTGCTCCGTCCCGGCTTTGAAGGGATGCAAGGTCAAATGGTCTAACGACTACGGCATGCACGACTATGAGTACACCCCCCCCCCCCGGACCGAATTTTCAAACTCCATTCCTACCCCCCCACCAAAAAGAAGCATGAAATCCAACCAT